GGGCAAACGCGCTCTGGCTCACCAGTAAATAGAAGAGTATTTGCGCGACGATCTATGTCGCCGCGTGAAGATAAAGCGGCTGCTAGGTGTACACGATCAGGATCAGCGGAACGCACGAGAGCGCTTATGCAAGCAAAGGTGGAGGCAGGAAGAAAAAAGCAGGAGGTGGTGCAAGCGCCCAAAACAACAATTAGACTAGAGCGTGAAGCTAGCGTGAAAGAAAACAAGGAGTCGGACGTTGGGGAGACGCCAGCTAATGTATTTTCATTATCAAGGGCGCTGTCGCCCATTAAAATGGCGGCTGAGACACACTCTTTGCCACATGCGAAGAGTGAAGCTTCCAAAATGGGTACTACAACGCATTCTATGCTAGAAGTTGTGGAACAAGCTGTAGAGCGCGCCAAAAATGGCGGACTTCCCATGGATGGGGATGTGAAGTTAGCTGCAGAAGATAAAGATGTTAATAAGCAGGGGGAGAGAATTGACTTAAGTCCCAATGGATTACGAACACCCACAAAATCTATGAAAGATGAAAAGAAGGGCGACGACAAAAAGAAAATTGAAAGAAAAAACGATGAAGATAGAAAACAATCTAAAAATCAGAAGGCCCCCATTAAAGAAATCTTCAAAGACAATGACTTGCACGGAAAGCCTGGAAAGTGGACTGATGGTGGGGATAATACTCCAGCGAGAAGCGAGAGTAATACAGCAAATTCCAAAACAAGTTCCATTCTTAGCAGTAAACACTCAGCTAGTTCTTTGAGACGTAACTCTAAAAGCCGATCACCCGTAAAAAGCACAGAAAATGTCGTCACTGAAAAATACATCGTCCAAAAAAATGGCTTACGGCGGAAAAACATAAGTCCGTCCAGTAATATAGATGACAGCGCCAGAGGAAGGTTCGCAGCTAAGGGACGTTTTAGTATGAGTCCTAGTAAAAAAGAATCTCTGAGCTACAACAAAAATGCGAAGCAACGCAATATTTGGGCGCATTCAAGTCCGGAAAATAGGGAGCAGTCGAGCAGTCACGGTAACACCCACAAGCCAACCCTGAATACAACACAGAATCTCCTTGAAAAAGTTGAAAAGTCAAGTACGAATCCTAAAAACACACCACCAGAAAACGAGCATCTTAATAAAGGCTCTAAGAGGGAGAGGGATAGCTATTCAAGTCAAGCCAAATTGAAGCCGGGTCAAAGTAATTGGACAAGTTCAAACAGAAGAAATAGCCAAGATGAATATGCGAATATGACTCATCGGTTTGAAAACTATACAGGCGCGAGCATTGTAGGTAAACACAATAGCGCTAGTCCCAGAAAACAAGTCAATTCTCTCGAAAGCGATGAAACTAATACCACCTCAATGGAAGAAGCTGAATGTCCTCCGATAATGCATGAATATTTTCAAAGAGATCACATCAAAAATATGACGCCAGAACATGAAAACATTTCAAGAACTCCTTTTAATGGGCCACATGCCAATAACTGGCATGAAAACGATCATCATGCAAAGGCTAGAAATAATATATCGTCCAGCCATAGCACAACTGCATCCAAACCGGAGAAGAAAAATATCAGACAACAGCAGCAAGTTCATAGAAATTTCAGTCCCAGCATTAAATCGATGCACATCGATAAACATAAATTACATCGCTCAAAACATACTGAAATCAATCTAGCAGCGAATCACTTCGCTAAAGACAAACACTCCGCTGTTCAAAAAACGAATAATCTAACCCACCAGCTAACCACCTCCAGTCCCACAAAGGATCCAACGCATACAAACTCTTCCACACAAAATTCCCACAACAGTTCACCATCGAAATCATCAAAGTCTTCCACAAGTATTGTCATATGTACAAATCTCTCGACACCCGACACAGAAGTCGACAACGAAGCGACACTGAGTGATGAATTAACGCAAGCGCTGCAACAACTTGAACTACGCAATGAAGCAGTAGACGAAGAAGATAGCTCTTTTCATCATAGCGACGACGATTCGTTACACTCCGACCACGAAGATAGCTCTCGCACTGATAACGAAGCAGCGCCGGGCACTGACATGGAGCTGAGTTACCACGCCGATGTGGAGATTACATCTGTCTCCTCTATGGATGATTTAATTAATATGCTATCACCTGAAGTTGCCTACCTCAATTTAGGACGCAGCGCTACAATGATGACGCTACGTAACACAACGCCGTTATTTAACGCGCCATCCTCCTTCCCCACACGCTTCCCCGAATAGGCGAAGGCATAATCACTACTCGTCCTATGACAGTGATCAGCTCAAGAAGAGGGCCTTTGTTACCGAATTCAGTTCGTTGGCTCGTAGTCGTTCGCCTCAGGTACCACCAAGTCCTTATAAAATACGCGCGCGTTGTGCTGTTTGCTATAATAAATATGTGATCAAGTAGTGAAGTGTTAGTAAAGAAAGTGTTTATTATTTACAATAAATGGAAAGAAGACTATTATTTCTGTTTAAATAATTGCGCCCTAAATATACGCTAGGAAAAAATTAACCAAAGAAAAATACACGAGTGTGAATTGAATAAAATCATCCTGGGTGAAACCCATTTCACTAGATGAACCGTCTTTGTCTAATTAAAACCCAGACCTGTGACTAACAGACTTCCATACTAGCATATATATAGCTACATACGTAGGTATTTACAAGATAAAACCGATCCGATATTTCCACAGCCCGCGTTGACAATTGCACAATTGTGAGAACCAGCTGTCAAAAGTAAAATACCTGGGTTACTAGCCTTCGGGTTTATATGTATGGCGTCGACGTGGGTGCTTAATTGCAGCTTGATCTACCATTTTTCAACCAAAGTGTGAAGGGTTGCCACCGGTTTATTGGTCGGTTTGGACACTGTGTAAATGGCCCATGGGGTTCCACAAGTAATTCATACCAACTATTGGAGAGCCGTTTTAAAGTTGATTTGATTCTGTAGCTCTTCCACAAGATATTACATGGTAGTGCCAGTCCAGGCACTACGAGGGATAACCATTGTTAACATAACTATGGGATTTGTCTACATGTGGCCAGGGTATATATTTTTGGGCGCCTTTTCTGAGAAAGTTATTCAGTTGTGAACAACAAAAAAAAAATATTCTCTGCTAACAACCCTGGAACCAATTGACGCAAAGTTCAATGAACTCAAAATTTATTAAAATTCTCTACTTCCGCAGGAATGGACTTAACCAAAAAAATAATTCTTTATTGGGCCTCGCAAGGTTGGATATTTATCTTTAGAAAATATCACTTAAAAATTATCCATAAACAAATTGTTTTTCTCTTTCTAGAATAATCTTCTTTATTTCGTTCCTTTTGCTATTTACTTTTCGATTACATTAATTACATTTTTTTTTTGAATTCCTTTACCAATAATACTAATTGTGGTTTTGGTTTTAAGAAATGTACACATTTATAAAATACACAAATATACATACATACATTCATAATACAATATTTCTATTTAGCATATTATTGTAAGTGTTTTGTTTTTACTAAAAGTAATTTTTTTTTATTTACTTGTCAATTATTTGTTTGTTCTCTCTAATGAATACAAAGTAGTTCTTCATAAGTACATTGCTTGTGTTTTGCTTTTATTTTGTGTGTGTAGTATGTAAATTACATATGTATATGTATCTATTTGCGATCTTTTGCTTTTGTCTTTGTTTACTACTTATCATAAGTTATTCGTGTATTTAGGCAACAATATAAATACATGAACAAGAAACACCGTTAAACTATGTGTTTCGAAAACGCTAGTTTCGAAAAAAACCCTACATACATATCCTTTACTGTATGTATATCACTACATATGTATGTGTATGTGTAAATGCTTAAAAATATAAATTACATAGTGCGACAAAAAAAAAAAAATTATTAAATATACCCGAAACGAAAGTTAGTCGAGTACAAAATGAAAATAGGTTTCGTACTGTTTGAGCAACCCTCAACTTTTTATTAAAAAAAAAGTTCTTTATGTACTTGATGCTTTTATCTATTAACAGATTGACTATAAAAGTACATTTATTATTTATTGATACCTCATTTAATGAAAGCATATACAACTTTTCGAAGTTGGGCTATTTAAGTAGAAATGCGGTCTGTAATTTAAGCGGATTGGACCCTCAGACCTTTGGCGCAGTTTGGCTGAGGAATTAATCAATATTTGCTCAAAATTGATATCGTACAATGGATCTTTAGCAAAAGGCAGTACTTTGAACTGCCATCATATTATAACTTAAGAAAGTTTTATTAGATGGCAGTTGAGAAGTGCACGTGAAAAAAACTGCATAAATTTAATGAAGGAATGCAGTACATAGCATGCATTTAGGCGCCCGATGTTAGCAGGCGCGCCTAAACACTACCTAAAACTTAAACTAAGTTTTGTTTCCGGTGTACTTTGTATTTTTTTTGTCGCACTATGTTAAATATTTCAGTAGGAAACAATTTTATTTTTTTTTGATTTTCTTTTGACATCATTTGTATTTTTTTTTTATTTTTGTGTTTGTCACATTGAGATTTGCCAATTTTGTATAAGAATCTCATTTGATCGCTTTACGAATGAATACACCTATATTCGTGTTAAATTCTCAATTTTTTTTGCTAACATAGAAAACAGTTTTATGAAACTGAATTTTCAAAGTAACTGGTGGCTTATTTCGTGCTTTTTGATATTTCGTTTTTTTTATGTTGATTTTCAAGTTCGCTTGGAAGTAGTCGTTTATTTTCAGTTGAATTTTAGAGGCGTATTCTTGTTTTCGTACCAATCGACAACTTTAAATTTTTGTGTAGAAAATGATAGGAGAATTTTCGCGATTTTCGATTCGTACGAAAACAAGAATATTTTTATGCCCTATAGATTCAATCAATATGTTGTAGACAACTCGTATGAATAGACCTATTTAGTTAGTGGTTATCATAAATAACTTCCGTTAACGGTTTAATTGATATTTAACAGTATAAATATGTATGTGTAATCGAATAACAAATATTTTAACTATACACAGTTTATCATATAATTACGTTTATATTTAAGCGATTGATAGTTATAGAAAAGTATACTTTTCTTAATTCAAATATTTTTGATACAAAAAAAGATGTATATATGAGGCCATATATAAGAAAGTTATTGCTTATTGTTAGAGGTATTTTTCTCACGTTGTAATAGTTAGCAACAGATAGCTGAAATGAATTTATTGTATTTTACCAAACAAATGCTAAAATAATAGGTTATTCTATTATCTCATCACTATTTACTATTTTGGTGGATATGCTACGCTGGCCCTTATGACCTTTTATAAGCAAATCTCACGAGTTGTTTTTTAGTGTCACTTCCTTCTGTCTTCAGAACAAAAAACGCTAAAGCATTCTTTTTGTTTACTTCAATCAATAGTGTTAACAAGTACAATAAAAAATAAATCAAGTATTTGAACAATTTTAGCCCTAAAACGTTTATTTAGTCGTAAAAGCACCGAAATTACAATTTTTTTCATTGCCACTCTGTTTTTTTTTGTTTTTTTTTTAATAACTTTGGGGAAGTTTTCAAATAGAATGATCACATTAGAGGCAAAGGACGTTGGCATCAAATAGAACATAACTGTGAAGTTTGAAGAGTGTGCCACCGAATTAAACAAAATGGCGGCATGCAAAATATCTGTCGCACCTATTTTGTACTTTTTCAGAATTTAAGATTTTTTTATTTTAGTAATTCAAGATACTTAAACGTGTTAGCTGACTGTGTATGGTCCCTCCAGTACTGCTGGAGTCAATCGCTACTTTTGAACCGCTACTGCACCGACTCCTAGGTAAATAGCTACTCTATTAATCCGTGGTAGTGCACATGGTAGTGCAGAGTCGTAACCCGTCGTAAGCAGAATAGCGAAAAACTACGACAGAGGGCGCCCATAAATCACGCAAGTGACTACTTTAGTAACTCCCGTTAGTGCAGAGAGAGCCGATGGTGACTACCGCCTAGGACATTCCCTTGTAAAAGTAATCGATGAAATACACTGCAAGTAGTCGGTCGGTAATTGGCGGTGTTTATCAGGTAGCTACCGATTCAGCAGTCCTGTAGTCACTCCCCCGTACTGCAGGGGTACTACGGGGCGTATACGTTACATACACATTTACGGCAACTACATCTTACTTTTAATGCAAAAGTGAAGATAGTGCATTGTCTAAAAAAAGTGTGCCATCATTGACAAAACCACGTTTTTGACGAAAAATGTAACAACTCGTTAGATTTGCTAATATAAATACTATGTATAAAGTATGACTGCGTTTGCAACTGTTTGATTACATTCCTCTTTAAATACATTCTTCTATTAGAAATATTAAAAAAAAAATGCTTTACATACATACATCAGTCCTGAATGTATATTTTATAGAATTAAACAAAACAATGGTCCAAAAATATAGTTCTTTTCATAACCTTACGACACTCACATATTGGCAAGGTTTGAATATTTATTTTATTATTTTTTAATTTTAATAATTATTTTATAAAAGTCTAGTATATTTTTAAACAAAAAAAAACCTATAAATCCAAGAGTCAATTTTGTGCAACATTTGAAAAAAATCAACAATCTTCCGCAAAAACAATAAGTTATATTTTTATAAACAAATAATTCAAATTAAAAATAAGAAAATAACTTGTCATTATGTGAGTGACTTAAAGTTGTGATAAAAACCATCTATATGCCCTTAATGAAAAAAATATAGAATCAAATTATTGTGAAGTTTTTAATATACTTTAAACTATACTTAAAATTTTTATTTTTGTTAATCCATCACTGTGTGCTTGCAACTATATACTTATGTAGTAAATGTATTTAATTAGTTTTTGAGCAAGGAAGACCGATTTGTTGCTGCAGTACTTAGTAAAAAGATTGAAATACAGTTACTAATGCTAAAACAATAAATTAAAATGAATTCAACTTCTTAAAAACACATTATTCTGTGTGCAATAGTTAATAGATTCGTTTCAACTTTTAGTTGTTTTCGTAAATTGACATAAATAAATCTTAGATTTTATATTACTACCGATATGCAGCGGAAATTTTGTAGTTACTACAGAACACATAAATATTCACTACTACTTATATTAAACTCAACATTTAAATTCTACTTCGTTTCTTAAATAAGTTGAAGAATTGTGATTTTACTGAAGTAAAACTTCTATCGCCGCATCAGAGTGATTTTTTTTTTCGTCACTGTAGTCCCGTTCGTCTCTCGGCAGATATAAAATATTCGACAAGAAGAATGTACATTAGAGTGGTCCAAAATTGCATGTGAATAAGTAAATTCTTTTTTTAATTTTAATGCGGCCACCTCCTAGGATTGTTCTATACCGAAAAAAATATACCCCTATTTTTTATTTTGAAATAAAAAAATGAG